TATTTTAGGGCCATTTGTGCGATAAGAGCGCAGCCAGGAAGAAACAGCCGCAATTTTTGCTTTCCCTACCGGTGCACGACCAAAGAGCAACCGTGTACTCTGGTAGCTCATGGACTCTACAGAACAGTACTAAATGAGCGGTCCCTGTTTGAAAGCGAATGTCGATTGCAAGCGGTTTTTTTATGTTTCTGTTTATTATCGGAATGAAGTGTTCCCATTGTAACTACAATAGTGAGTCATGTATTCAGTGATTGCGTTATCTCGTTTGACCTATTGAAAGCCCGCGACTTATGCTGAAGTTTCACTGTACTGTAGTTCTACTGTAGTCGTTGGTGACTACAGCTCTTGTAACTTTAAAAGTTATTAGACTGACTTCTGCTGTGCATTTGAAGCTATGAATCGAGAAAACTAAACCTAAATTGCTTTAGCACAAAATAAAAATGAAATTCTGCTGCTGTTTGCAAAATATCATGATTTGAAAAATCTATTGAATTTATTTTATGCATGCTATAAACTTAATAGCGGATGAAGCGTTTGGTCTATTTTACAATGTTGCCTGATTTTTAATATTTTGCAATTTTCGGAGGAGCAATCGACAATAGACATGAGGATTGCTCCAAGGGTAAAATTAAACGTAGTGTATTTTCTAGTGTTGTTAAAGTTATGCACCAATACGAAAATATTTGTACGTTTATGCGGTAGCAAATTGAATACCTGTTCCTAAAACATGGTTCATAGTCTACGTGTGCATAAAGTAGTTGTTCTAGCAAAAAATGCGACATGCAACTGGTACCACAGGTGCTCATATACCATTTATCTGTTGTCTGCTTAAATCTTCCTCTAGGCAAATAGGGGTGTGGAGATATAATACGCGATCTTACCTGGAAGGAGTTTTGCCCCATTTAACATAACCTTGCGTACAAAAATATTTTTGTTTATGCAGTTACCTCGTGAACTAGTCGTTTTGGCCTACATGGTGTTAATGACCGAGTTTGTAAGTAAAGGTATATTATTTCACCGCGGCCATCGCTCGTTTTCATAATGGAGAACTCGAAATTTTGTATTTGAACTTACATGACTTTCCAAATCTGTGAAACGTGAAGCCTCCCAAAAGAGCATAGACTATTTTTCAAAATGTAATGATTCGGTACTAAATCAATTTCACTCGTGGCTTTTGAACAGCAAAGTGCACTATGCTCGATTTCTCAACCTTCAAGTACATTATTCATCAGTTGACAAATAATCTTTTTTTAAAGATATATGTATGTCAGGGGGTGATCCTTACTTGTTTGCCTTCAGATTATCGTCTGCAATGAAGATTCAACAAACACTGCTCTGATCTAGTTACGTGATGATTTATTGCGAAACAAGTAAACGCTGGCAAATAGGAAAACTGTTTTCGCAGGTGCGACCTGGGTTCTGTTGTGGCTTTTGCATCGGAATAACTGGTTTGTCATCGGACGCCGGGTTCGTTGAGATTTTGGAAAGGAAATTCGAGGAGTGCCGCAGGTCGTGCTACGTCGTGCATAATCTGCCCTTCCCTAGCAGCGGCAAGTTTCGACGGACTACCGCTGTTCCTCCTCGAAACTACCGGTGGCCCTATTTTGGCGCCGGTTGCGTTTCTGGATATGACGCCACTACCACCAGCAAACAGCAGTATGCCAAGAGAGGTCGGCGACGGGTGCATAAATAAACGGATCATCGACTAGCATCGACTTTATTAGCAACATTATTAGGGACAGATAAACTTCGTTGGGTCCTCTTCATGTGTTCGGTCCTGTTTCGATCGATCGTTCACAGCTCCTAGCAACATGTTCTGAAAATGGCAGTGAGGCGAGCGGTTGGTTCCTTTTCGTGGCTGAATCCCAAAAGACGTAGTGGTACTGGCACAAGCAGGTTCTTGGCACTGTTAAGCAACAGGACCGACCGACCGACAGGCTGAACTCGACCCGCACCCATCGACAACAAGTCAGTCCAGGTGATCACTCAGCCTGTCACATAAAGTTCGTCGAAATCAAACCGTGTGTCGTCGTCATCCGGACGTCGTTGCATCGCACAGGCCGTTAACACAGCTGTGTCTTTCCGAACAGTCGCTACAAGGCCCTTTGCTGTTCAGCTGAAAGGCGGGGAAACTGACCAGTTTGTCACTCTTTCGATAAACTACGTTACCACTCGGAAAATAATGGCAAACCAGTATGAACCTATGTCCGGGCGCGTTTTTTATTTTGCTGCACTTTGTAAAGCCGCAGCCGACTTTGTGCGACTCCGCCCAGACGACCTAAATCCACAAACTATATAGTTAGTAAGGCAAAGATATATACGCAAAATAATTTTTCCATTTTGTTTTTTATTAATTATCACCCGATTTAACGTCATAAGTAAAGGGAATGTTTAAAGTTTTTAGCGATAAACTTTTTACAGATGTCTACAAATACATGTTGAAAACCGAAGTGATAAAAACAGTTAATTTCTGAAATTCTTTGTCCTTTTACATAGTAAATCGTCGGTTCATTGGTTGCGAAAAGGCATATGGAAAACATTTTATTAGAATTGCCGACATTTCAGCCGAAGAACATTGGCCATCCTCAAAGTCCTGAGGCAGTTTCAATAAAGCAAAATTACCATCTGTGTCTAGACCCAGTGAACTGATTTCGTAATTCATTAGAAACGACTGTCTTGCAATTTTTTGTGCAGTAATTGCCTGTTTAGTGGCACTTACTGTGACTAGCACGTAAAGACATGACCGCAACACAAGGCTAGGCAAATCACTTTCCCCTTTTCGACCCCATGGTCATCTAGAATCGGCGGTGCCATAACGCAGTGACACTGCGCTCACCCGGAATAGAAACCAGTTCCTTCATGTTGCTGGAAAATGAGTGCTGCGCCAATCGTCAGTGACCAGAAAGAATTTGGACAAAAGTATGATACGAGAGGAACGTGCATCGCGTTAATGAAATGCCCGCTACCAACCATTTGCTCTAATGACTTGCGAGATATCTACGATCAGGGGCGCCGTAAAGGGCTCAACGCTTGACCTGAATTACAGCTGATTATGGAGCTTTCCGTATCAGCAAGTCAATTAATTCAGTTGAGATACTCTGAGGCTCATAAGATCAAACACTATGCGGTTTTAAGTCCAAGAGATCAATCCTTCTTCGACTCAATGTTAACTAGTTTGCGTTTAATGTTTGCATAAGGCGATCCATGCCCTATGGAACAACTTACTATATAATTTAAAGTGAGAAGTGACGTGTATAGGAATAGATATACAATGACGAAGTATCAACCGTCTAGATATATACCAACAACCTTCCCTTTGCAGTATGCTCAAAGTGCAATAGCACCACCGAATCATGAACGCAAAAGTATTGACGACCGCAGTCCGAGAAAGCTATAACTCAAAGACCGGTCTGATTTGACTTGGTGGAAAAGCCAAATTAAAAATGAATTAAAACAAATCGTTGAGGCAGGTCTGTTGGTGACGTGGAACATGACTCTTTCCGCAACATTTAACGTTGCTTAATGTCAATCTGAGATATCATTTCCAAAGGTCAGACCATAAATCTGGACTACTCTGCTGTTTAAGGTCTGCTAGCATTTGACGACCAAGACTCTGACAACATCAAGACTGGATACCTCATGAATTGTTAAAATTACAGCTCTTTTTCATCGGTAGGACTTCAAAATAAATGAATCCTAGCCTAGCCCGGACAACATGCAACGGCTTTCGCAAACGGCTGAGTGCAGAACTCTGTACCTATAAGACATGTCAAGGAAAAGCTGATTGAAATCGATAGCAGACAAGTCAAAATCTAAAATGATCATTTCATATCGCATCAGTCATCTGTTAAAATTACAGCTTTTTTTCATCGATAGGACTTCAAAATAAATGAATCCTAACCTGGCCTGGGCAACATACTACGGCTTTCGCAAACGGATGAGTGCAGAACTCTGTACCTATAAGACATGTCAAGGAAAAGTTGATTGTTATCGATAGCAGACAAGTCAAAACCATATCGCATCAGTCTAGTAAAAAGCACAGAGGCCCCCATCATGTTATCTGCGGCATCATATCAGAGCCGAAATGCCGAATTACATCCGGAAAAACGTATAATCGACGCCTGCGTAATGACTATGGTTCCTTACGCCGAATATGTGATATTCCGGTGTTTGACCTACGTTGATTTTCAAATACCATGGCGTGCCCGTTGACTATTCGTTTCTATCAATGGTGTCACCAACAACTGCATCGTTTCAACTGCAACTGATGATATGTGTTTTATTAATCTCATTCTTAGGGCCAGTTAGATCAGCTATATCCTTCCTTGCAGTCTTTACCTGGATGTTTCCAAACGTAAAATTGCCTAATGTAAATTGATGTCCATGCATAGATCAAATAAACCTAATGAAACAGATATTCTGTACATTGCTCGACCTCTTGAAGATACTGGACCAGATCCTTTTAAGGGTTCCACTTTTCGTTAACTCTTATCTGATAATCAGATATCCGGTGGGTCGCGATGAATGCAGCCACAAAAGCCCTCATATTAGACAGCATGGTCGCACTTCTCGCCCATTGCGATTTCATCATACCAGAACATAAAGATGTGCCTGTTGTTCAGCAATTTCTCGGTAGGTAGCAAAAATGAAAGGCGAGTAAAGGTATTTGCTCAAGGGAACTAACGCTTAAGACGATACCGTAACTTCTCCGGATTCGAACATGGGACGTCTGAAGTCGATGCCTACCTCTTTGCATCAAAACATATTTCTGAAAACATTATTCGCCTAAATCTGTTCACTTATTTGACTGTACGGTAGATAAGCATGACGATAAGTACAGCTATCAGCTAATAAGTTTTCTGATTTCTGATTAGATCAAAGTACCACAATGGCCGGTCCACAAATGCGGAAATCGGTGTTCATTTCAGCCTATGGTTCCGAAGTGCAAAATAAACTGCAAAACCGTTTAGTTTCAAAAATAACCTATGTTGTTTCTGAAATTTTTCTCTTACCAAATCTTTATTCTCATTTAATTTTCCTTATTTTATTTATCCTTTATTTTCCTATTTTATTCTCTCTTATTTCATTTTCTATTTATTGTTATATCCTTAAGCTCACCCTCGTTTTTCTTTTCAAATAATTCTAATATATCTGACAATATATCCTCCAACTTTCAGACATGCAACGTTTAACGCTTAAACGTAAATAATTCGTAGCATCATATTTCTAACATAGTTATATACCTGTGAAGTCAGACGTTTCGTCAGTCGAAATCTTTTGACTGCATTACTTTCAAAATTCGTGGTGAACACTTTTTTAAAATTAAATCCAGTTTTTGCCTATCCTTCGTTGTGTTTAACAAGTGCCTCCATTGCTTGTCTCAATGCCAATGCCTGCTTACCCCGTGCTGTTTGTCACAACCAGCTTCTACGTTTTTCTTTAACTCATCGTCTCATTCGAACCGAGGTCCTTAATTTTGGCGCGTCCAGCCCTTGGGTACTTATCCGTCATCGTTTGAGTCTATCATTCAAGCGTATGTCATACGATGTGACCTTTCTATTTTCACTTTCTTGTGAGACTGATACTATGTCCTGCATTCCCGTACGTCTTCTTAGTTTTTCGTTTCACAGCTTGTTCCTGATGGAAATTCCTAGCATTCTTCTTTCCACAAGTCGTTGCAGCACTTTTTACAAGTGGAAATCCTTGTCCGCTAATGAACAGGTCTGGCAAACATACAGAGCAGTTGGCATTGCAGCAACTGCAAATGACAATGCCGCGCTAACCGCAATTCATAACTTTGTTTTCAAAAACATATGCCATTCATCTGTACGTCAACATGCCGCATGACGCCTTCTGGAGAATTCTGGGTCAAAGGAGTGGTCAGCCACGATTAGCTGTCCAATCTAAACATACTGGGTGACTTTTTTCACTCTGTCGTCATTGATGATCGGTGATCAGTCACAGAAAGCTGCAAATTTGTTTCTTGGTGCAAGTTTTTTTGTTCTGAAATTATTTTGTATAAATCTGACTGCTGAACAGCGCAATGCTAACGGCAGGTGACATTATTTGACAAATTGTCTCACTAATTTACTTGTCATCAGCTGCCTTCTTTTCACTGATGAATCACAGCTTGTTAAAGAAAAGTTCGTATTCCTCAACGTGTAATGCAACCAATGACTAAGTTTATCACTCTATATAATTTAGCTTCAATATTTCTGCCACGAACGGTAGGCGATGACGAAAAGGCAGAATTATATGGCAAAAAGAACCAGGCAAAAATATACATTTTTTAGCCACTATGGTAGCTATGAACATGAGTTGTGATTCCTCAACCGGAAAACTAAGAAAGATGTGAAAACCGAGTCCTTCAGAATTGCTTATATCTTATGAAGGCAACCGGAGTGGAACCCGTGAATTACTGAGCCAAATATAACTAACGAAATTAACTACCGTCTATGCAAATTTTAAATTTAAACAAAAATTATCTCACTTGAACAGCATTATGGCATTTGAAATAGTTAATAATTTATTTTATTTTTACATTATCGTTTCTATGCAAATTTTCTCAACTTGGGAAGAACAGTGCGCACATAAATTTAACTATAAGCGTTGACCAAATGGTTTTACAATTTGAACGTTTTTCATATTGCTGCACGAAGGTCATCGTTACTCCGTAATTTAGGCATGGCAAAGAGGAATGAACTCCGCCATGGCCGGTCCCAAGCCCGGATGAGAAAGGAGGAGGGTTGGAGACCGTGGCAAGTCT